GCATCGCTCCAATCAGCAATATGCCTCATTGCTGCCATGCTCGCTCTACTCACTGAGCCTGACGAAGAGGCAACAAATGTTACCATTTTCGCCTCCGTGTGGTTGCCAAGGTTAGAGGTAGCAGGCCAAAAATGCAAGGCCTCATACGGAGTGCTCTCAGGTAAGCACTCTCAACATGAGACTGACGCCAAGCTTTCCCACCATCTCTGCCCTGGGCGTAGCGACCGGCAGGCGGCACCGGCCGCAAATTCAAGTTTGCAGGAGGCCAGCCAAGGGGCTAAACGACCCCTGCCATCAAAGCTACTCCTTGTCTCCCCGTAGCAAGATTTGCAAGGAGGTACCCGATCTCAATCTGTCAGCATGAGCCCGGACAAACTGGACGGAAGTTGCAACCCCCACAGCATACATTAACGGAAAGGATCAAAAGAACTGGTCATTGAGGCCCAGCTTGCACATCCGGCTCATGTTTGTCTGAGCGGTCGCTGAGCCCTGAAGCCAGAACGAGGAATTCGTGAAAATGCCAGCATTAAAAACTCGAGGAAGAATCTGAGGAAGTAGGCGTCGTAATCCCCATCGCACTTGCGAACATCTTGGCACGCCTGCGGCGAGCCCGCACAGCCTCAAGGAACCTGCCAGCTCCTTTGACCTTCGGAAGTGATGAAGGCTTACGGATTCGCACTCCTCTAGATGGTTCATCGCTTGGGTTCTCAGCCGAAGGAACGAGCACCAAGTGCACCATGAGGTTGCCAGCCATCTGCAAGGCTGCAGCTTTGCGAAGAAGGCGGTTGAGCGCTGTGGATGACCGCCCTTTGGCCGCTGCTCCCAACCACACTGCCGGAGTCCACCAGCACCACTACTCGTGAACTGTGCCTCGCCTTGCAACGCAGCAGCCACCGCAACAATAACACAAAAGCCTCCCCCTCCAGCACATTGATATGAGCAGGGCTCCGACTCTTCACGCTGAAAACATGCACGAAGTCCGATTTTGAAAAGGGAACCTGATGCCTTTCACCAGCTCTCGTGCCCCAATCTGTGCCACCATCCAGGACAACGTAGCTGCCTTGCTTCTCGGCCACCCGAGCAAGTGCACGCGCAGTTGAGGCAGGCACTCGAGCGATAGAAGCCCCGAAACCAAAGGTAGTGCTTGCATCGCACGCTGCAACCAAAGGCAAAAACGTCCTGCAGAGGTCTGCCTTCCAAAAAACGCCCAGGCCCAAGCCGAGCAAAAGCTCCTGCATGGCTTCATGAGGAACTTTGCGCTGCAAGCAATCTTCAGGGTCGCGTAGGAAGTTGTACACCACCCGGTACACTGACAGCTTCGGTCTCATCAACAAATCAAACCACTGGAGCATGCCGAGTACTGAATGCACTTGCTTTGGCGAAGAAGTAGGCATCTGAGCCAAGGCCAAGATGAGTACCATGAGTGCCAAACATCTTGCTGGGGGGACAGAAAGGAAAGTCCCATCCTCCAGACTGACGCCCACACATGTGCCATTAAGCTCATCGTTTACGTCTTTGCCTGAATGTTTGATGATGCCACGCTTAAGTAGCGCCTCATCAAATCTCTCTGCCATGTTGCTGGTGACTCCCGGGCCTGAGTTGCTGAAAAACATGGCATCATCAGTTGCAGCGGCAGAGACCTCTGAAAAGTCACACGGCGTTGTCGCACGCTAGCACCTGCCCATCGCCGATGCCAGCAGTCGCAATGCAATCAAGGAGCACCTCCTGCGCCACATAGGACGACCAAGAAAAGCCCATGGGCCACACCTTTGACACTGGATAGAAGCAACTGGAATCCAAGGCGCTGCCTTCCTCCAGGCAAGAATTTGCCTCCTCAAGACTCATTGAAGCGCCCTCGCACAGTTCGCTGACAGTCACTGGAGGACGAGCCATCCACGTGCGAAGGTGAGTTGGGAGCAGCAGCTGGTCGAACCAACACTTGGCATCTCGCTTGCTGATCCTGATTGGCTTCTCCCTAGTTGCTTCCAAGTACAGGAGTGCAGTTGGTGAAGCTAGATGTCTGGGCGGAGGCGGGCCTCTTGCCGCCTGCGAAACACGTCTGCCATGCCACACTTCGCGCTGTTTGCCAGTGCCAGGCTTGCTGACGGCGAGCACAACGCCGCCACCTTTAACAGTGCTGGCCAAGCCCAACTTCTGGCAACGAAGTTGCCTGGCAACAAGCTTGACATACTCATCACGGCTTTCTTCATCCACATCGCCAAACCTGTTTAAGCCAGTTGGAGGCTCCGGAAACATGAAAGTCTCTTCCATGATAACAGCTCTCACCTCCTCAGGCAGGCAAGGCAACGGATCACAAGCTCCAGACACGGGTAAGCAGTCAACAGCATCAGCTTGAATATGGGCATACTTAGGACCTTCTGGCTTAGCAACGCCCACGAACCAGTCCGGCAGCAAATGTTCCCACGAACCGTCTTCAGTCGATTGCAAACGGGCGTTGAAATCAGCACACCGTTCCAATACTCTGCTTGCGACATCCTCCTGCACCAGTGTCAATTTGTGCGGCAGCACTGCTTGACTGCCCAACCCAAACAGAAAGTTTAAAGCCAGGACCACCACATTGGCAAACTCCAAAACGATCTTGGCCTTCCAAAGTGGAAGCTGTAGCCTCTTTAAGTATGAGTCAGGCAGCAAAGGGAGAGGGAAAATTTCAGTGGATGCGGGCTCAGTGAC